ATAATATGACGTTCCCACGAGTTTCTATCTCGTGGCCACGACATAATATGACGTTCCCACGAGTTTCTATCTCGTGGCCACGACATAATATGACGTTCCCACGAGTTTCTATCTCGTGGCCATGACATAATATGACGTTCCCACGAGTTTCTATCTCGTGGCCACGACAAACTTAAGTGAACTGAAGGTGTCCCCTCCCGGTCACCGTACTAACACACACTAGAGATGAAAATCTAACAGTTTATTAGCCAGTGGCTAATGATAGACATTATTTAGTTGCCCAGAGTTAAGATTTAGTCACATATGAGTGTTTTACTCGCATTGTAGTGGGCTGGGCAATTTAATGGTATGAGATGTTGTAACATTACCAATATAAACCGTTAACTAGGTGATGACGAAGACTCACCGCCACCAAAGACACGCATTGTTAGCACACCTAAATGTAAGTTAATTGTTTAAAATCGTTTGTTACATCATTACATAGCTGTGCTCAGTGTTCAATTATATATTTATGTAAAGGTTTTTCATTTTGTTTCAGTCACCCCAAGAACAGAATATTTTGGAAAACAAAGAAAGTGTGAGTTTACTTGTTCTTTCTTTTCGGGAACCTCATTCAGACAAGAGAATCCTTTGATAATACAGCATTGTCATGACTATTTTTTGTCACTTTATCTGCTTGTCAGTAAATACTTCAAGCCGTGGTCCCACTCAACAAAGTGAGTGCCACACCACTATTTATTTTTCAATAACAAAAAAGCATTCCTAAATAATTGCCAGAAAACAATTTTTTTTTAAATCTTGTTTTTTCAGGTTTTCCAAGTGCTCAAGAACCAGAAACCGCCCTGTCTGACAGGGAAACTCAACATGAAGGTGGGACAAGATTTAAATGATTATACAATTTTTGCGTGCAATTGTATGTTCATGTTAGAGATGCACCAACCAGTTAGGGACCTGAATCAGACGATTTTCCACATGATTGGCCCAGACCTGTGACTGGCTAGTCAATCTCATGCCGGTTGCCAGTGGCGCATGCAATAATGTCAGCTGCATATTCTCGCTCTCTTTGATGGCAAAGTGACACTCACTCATCTCGAAATGCAGAAAAGTAGATATTTGTTTGTATATGCTGTCAAATTTAATTCTTTGAAAGAAAATCTGAATCGGCAAAAATCTACATCAGGTAGGTCACCCTTACAAAAAAAAACGGAAATCAGAAGAAAATTGTAATCGGTGCATCTCTAAATCATTAATATTTTTGAAGCCGAGTACAAATGCAAAAATGATTTATTTGTACATTAAAATGAACAGATATTATATGTGTGTAATGTATTAATGTATTATGAGCTTGCAAAAAATGTATAATATTTTCATAGACTTGACATCGTATTTCTCATTTTCAGCTGATGTGACTGAAGATGTTCCTGCATCAGCCAGGGAAACCAATTTGTGTGAGTTAAAGAAATTTTCTTTCATTCAAAGGTTTGTGGCCAATATGGTTTGTTAATGTTTTTGAATGAAGTCTCTTCTGCTCACCAAGGTTACATTTATTTGACCAATAATACAGTAAAACAGTCATATTGTGAAATAATATTACAACTTAAAATTTAAGTACTTAAAAACTCTTCCATTTTAATAATTCAAAATGTAATTTATTCATGGGATCAAAGAAAAATTATTACTCCAGTCTTTAGTGTCACATGATCCTTCAGAAATTATTCTGATATTCTCATAATTCAATAATATACTGTTTAATGTTATATATTATTTTATATATAATTTTACAATTTATAAAAGAACAGTCATGCTGTACAGTTTTATATAGTGTATAACAAAGGTCCCGCTGTTGTGTTTATCTCTTTCTGTATCTCTGTGGTCTATAACAGGAACCCAAATATAACATTTAATTATAGTAATTCTGTAACATTTCCTTTGCTGTCAGTATTATATAGTAGATCTATGTAAGTGGCAGTCTAAACATGTTTGCCCATAAAGCAACATTAATAATATAACTAACTGAAACTATCAACAGAACTTTCCAACATTTGGAAGAAAATATTAAATAATAAATTAAATGAAGTACATCAATAAATGTAGATACATTTGTGACAGGTACAGTTCTTTTGACCTGCTTCTATTTTGCGTGTTAACATTTCAACTGCACATTTCAGACAACACAGAGTTGAAGAAACTTGAACGAGCCATGATCATTCGACTTGACAAAATGGACCAAAAGCTGTCAATGATAGAAACACTTTTAAGAAGTGTTGCCCAGCCAAGCGACATTTCTGAGTTTCTGATTAATCCTTGCAAGAGCACACAGGAATTGGAGGATTTGTGCATGAGGATGAAAGACAGTGAATACAGGACAAAAACTGTAAGTAAATTTAACTATTGCAAAGTGCACATAAATATGCACACAACATATCAGTTTGCATAGCAAACTAAGACAGTAACAAAAAATGTTAATTATAAAACAATGCCACTATTTGTTTATTTTATGTTTTCATTTTTCAGTCTTCTTCTGTTCTGAATACCATTAAATTAGTAGAATTAAAATACACATTTACAAACATTATAAATATTTATTTATGTTTTGGCATTTTGCTTTTTTTCTGACTAGTAGTTTAATAACAAAATGCAACTTATACACTGATGTGACTTAACCTGGTGCACCTTGTTTTCTAGGAAAACATGGTAGTTTTCTTACTAGTCTCAAGCTTACTTTTTAAAATGCAGGTGTCCACAGTGATACATGGATTAGGAATAGAAGTAGCTATCTGTCCCAAAGTAATAATTTTTTTTTTTTTACAGGTCCATTACTTGAGCCTCCTTGGAGGCAGAACCCCTGGAGACGCCATCCGCAGGATACTGCGGACAGTTGGAGTAAACAGCCTTTGGTCGCAGTACAGCATGAAGAGAAGGAAGGGGAAAAAAAATTTCAAGACCTTGACATTTGCAGTGTTGTTATTCGTAAGTATTACGTTTTGTAACACTGTCACTGCATTTTAAGATGAATTTTCAGTGACCAGATCTGCCAAGGCACATGAACACACAGAGTAGGGATCATGCTGCGCACACACACAAACAATCAGGAGCACTAAAACTTGTCATCAATGCTCCCCTGCAAAATTTTGTAACAAAATAGCTTTGCTACTGAGTCACTGCATTATATTACTCAGTAGCTAGAGGGTTACATCGCTATTTTTAAGTAATTAAACAGTAATTATAAGTTGTTAATCAGACCCTCCAGTTTTTTGTGATTGCTGAATCCAATGCAAAATCAGCTACATGTCGAATTTTTCGTGATTCTGCATAACTTGCCATTTCACCGCAAAATAATTGCAAAAATGAAGATCTTGCAAAAAAAAAAACCACTAAATTATAATTATTAACTGAAATATACCAAATTTTACTATCGCTGTAATGTATTATTTTAAATGGATCACAGTTTATCCATGATACATATGGACCAGGGGTGTGTTTCCCAAAAGCATTGTTAGCTAACTATGGTCGTTAGTTCCATTGAACTCTACTGGTAACGAAGAAACTTCCGACCATAGTTGCTTTCGGGAAACACACCCCAGGTCAAGACCCCACCTTTGGCATGTGATTCGCAGATTAATTTGCCAATTTACACGTTCAAGGTATTTAAAACCACAAGAAGAAGAAATTAAACAGAACTCAATTCGTTACTTACACACTGTTCTCGCACACTCCCGAAGTGCGCACAGACATAGAGACCTGTTTCAGACAGTGCGGCATACCGAGTTGATTCCTCTTTTATGTGTCCCTGCATTTAAGATACATACTACTTTGCACACAGCGCTACAGTGCAATGTAGTCAGTGACATCATGCATTTGTGGCTGCTTTCATGTGGTCTGATCGTAATTTGAGACAATGTTTACACCTGTATTTAGCAAATGTTAAAGTAAGGTGTAAATGGGTACAAAGGTTCTTTTTCCTAACATTTTTACTGAAGTACTTTACTAAAATGTTGTAAACTTCCATTTAGAGGCTTGTCAAAGGATTCACCCGAAGGTACAAGTCAAGGTGTTTGAAGAATACATTGCAGAAACCCTGAAGTACGCTCCTCATCGATATTCAAGGGTGAGTAACATTCAAAAATTATGGCTTGTTTTCTTAACCCTAAACATTTTTGTTTGTTTTTTGTATCCTGTGGGATACAAACATTTTGGGATGGGAGTACTAAATGTGTTTTTGTTACCTAAATAGTTCAGTTAGTTCAGGTTTCATTTTCAGGTGTAATCCTTTACCGTGTGTTATGAACTTTTTCATTGTACAACGTTTGTAAGCTACCTTTGAATCATGTTTGATTTACTTATAGTACACATTTATAATACGTAGCATAAATAACTTAAGGGTTAACTTTTAGGGAGCACCTGCACTTTTAAATGCTTATGAAATAATATATCACCATTAGTAACATAAGCCAATCTGTTCATTTTACAGACAGAGCATGAAGAGACTGGACCTGCTAGTCTGGCACCACCACACACTCATATTCTCACTGATTAAGCTTAATTTATAGATACAATGAGTTCCTAGTACAAGCTTAAATGTGAATGACAATATTTGTTGTCGTTGTTTTCTTTTCAAGTTTTTACCATATTATTAAAATTTTTCTTTTAAGTGTGCAGATTATATAATTACTTTTTGTAATTCACACTGTTATTGTAATGTTGTAAATTGTGTTAATAAAAAATAAAGTTGAAAGAATGGTTCAGGGACATTTTTCTAACCATGAATTAATATTAAAGAATGTGGGCATTTTAATGTTTTTGGAATGTTCCAAATAAACGTTCTTAGAATTTTATATTGTGAATAAAATTTAGGTGGAAAGAATGTTGCAGGAAAGTTATGCTAACCTTAAAATAACGTTGTGCTAACATAAAAAAAACTGGACAATTTAGCATTCTGGGAACATTACAAATCAACATTCTTTGAACGTTGTAATAATAATGAAATTGAGGTGGAAAGAACGTTGCAGGAACGTTAAGCAAACTGGACATTTCCACGTTTCTAGAACATTTCAAATCACGTTCCCACAACCGAAACAGAACGTTTGGAAAACGTTCTCAGAACATAACTTTGTTAGCTGGGAAGGAGATGCTAAAAAAAACCCACACATATGCAGATATTTCAGCTATGCTGTATCAATTAGGCGTACAGAGGGGGTCCTCTGAAATGAGTGTTTGGAGATTCTGCGCGGAGCACAACTTGAGACAGAGAGGTCTTGTGTCTGACACCTGTTTGGAAATTGCCATTGGTAAGGCCATAAATAAGGTATGTACGGTATATGTCTTGTGTTGTTTATGTTACGTCACATATTCATTTGTTTACTTTAGACTTTTCTTTTTTTCAGACAGGATCAACATATGGTCGGAAAATGATGACCGGTTACCTGTCCTCAGTGGGAGTATGTGCTGGAGAACGCCGTGTAGGAAGCATCTTAAGGACTCTGCATCGCCCTTATCACGAATTACGAAGATGTGTAAGTATGCATGTACTATTTACTGTATTAAGTGCACTCTAACTCTGCACAAGTGTGTCTGTGATTTTTACGTTGTTGTTCAGTAAGCATTCTTTTTCCCCCTTTTTAAAAGGGCGCACAGAACCTGAATCCCATACCCTATTATGCTGCATATGTGGGACACAAACTCCACTTAGACCAGAACGAAAAACTGGTGATGTTTGGAGTTACTCACGTTATGGCAGTAGATGGGCACAGTGGTAAGGTTGTTTCCCATGCAACCATGCCAGTAAAAAATAATCTCCTCATATATGAGCACGTGTACAGGTTAGTCTGTCATGAAAAAATATATATCAATACAGCACACACTTGCCTCTCATGTTTATTTTATGGTAAACATGAAGGAAAGTTCTCAATAATGATTTTGTTTTGGTGCACAAGCATATCCATACATCCACATGCATATGGGCACAATGTCTTTACAATTCAGAGTCTGGGAAACCAGGTTGTTCCATACATTTTTAAAATCATTATGTAAGACCATCCAATTCAGAATTATCAAATGACCAGTTGGTCTGCACCAGTAGTGTTATTGGCTATATTAATATCAGTTCTTTTTATAGACCAGCAGTCCTAAAATATGGAATGTGGGACCAGGTCAGGGAGTTCTACTTGACTCTGTACGTGCAGGAGATGCTCTCTGAGTACAGGCATAACTTGGAAAGGCAACCATATTGCCAAACTCAGTCAGCAAAAGTGAGTTTACCTATTAAGCATGTTTAACAAAAAATCTTGTTCATCCTGTTTTTTTAGATGAGGTAAATGATGGCTTTACATTTTGCTTCCACAGAATCATACAATAGAAAGAATGTGGCCAGAGATTAGTAAATTACCCACTAAAGGAGGCTCTCGTGCAACTGCTGGATCAAGAAATAATAGACATGGATAATAACTAGGGGTGTGCAAAGCAGCCGGTATTTGTATCTGTATTTGTATTTGTTGAGGGGGGAAAAGTATTTGTA